TTGCTTGCTGAAGACTGGAGCTCTGCTCTGAACTTGCAACATGTTTCTGTTTGAGTTTGCTCCAAGTTGGAGAAATCTACAACTGGTTTGTAAAATCTACTTACGTTTATAAAGATGTTAAATGAAGCACCAGCCATCTGTGTTTTACTTTTCTGGCGCTGAATTATCGCTGCAAAACTCTCAATATATCCATAAAACCATCGAAAGAGAACCCAACTGAATGGCACCTCTTATATTCAGGCATAATCATTTTCAATTCCCCCTGTAGTGTTCATGCTCATTGTTTAAGTTGCACTGTGATCTCCATTTATCTTCACCATCAGAAAAGGGAAGGGACAAGAAACATTTGATGCAGGTGAAATTTTTATTAGTTTACAATCAAGCTACTTTGTGACTTTCCATTTAGTTAACAAAGACAAATATTTGAAATTCTCATGGTACCGAAGCAAAGACTGGAGGTTTTTCACCATTCCAAGTGAGCATTCAGTCCTGGATAAATTACCTAGAAGAATTAAAGGAGCCTGCGGTTATACCTAAGCATGCATAAGAGACGTGCACCGTCCCGCGTAAAGCCATCCTCAGCCTCTGGTAGGTTGAAGAAACCTCCTGGGAGGAAGGGAGACTTGGGAGAACAGGCAGGCAGCCAGAGATATCGCCGAGCCAGAGGGGTCAGCACAGGAAGCTGCTCAGCTTGTGCCTCCCACCACTGAGGCAAGGAGACATCAGCAGGAGCTGCGTCAGCTAAATGTTGATACCGAAACCATTCCATTTCTGGCACCTCCGAAAGGCCGGGGACCCCCTGGTCGGGCTCTACCTGGCTCCATCCTACAGCCCCCAGTTGCTTGGGATCAAGTGCCCGCACTGCTTTCAAGGTGGGCATCGCAGGGTGAGAGTCAAACAAATGCTCCAGGCGACTCAGGCTCTGAGCTAAGATTTGATGAAACTGTTTTGCCAGCTGGGGTGGGCACACAGCCAGATGCTGCTCTGTGTTGGGCCCCAGCCTTGCATCTAAGTGATAGGAGAAAGAAACTCGCAAGGAATCTAGTTCCCCGTAGATTCGGTGGGCCAGTGGCTCACCTGTCTGGCGGAGAAACCGTGCCACGGCCAACAGACCTTGGGCATGCTCGCCTACAAAAGTGGCTTCCGCCACCAGTTCCTTGTCATTCTCCACCAGGATACTCTGCAATTTCCCCATAATGGGCCCCTCGCCTTCATCGGTTGCTACAAATTCCCTCAGAAGGGGGAGATGTTCTGCAATGCTTGTTGCTTTCTCCAACCAAACCTCAGGGCCAGCCTGCCTGTTGCACACAGGGAGGGACAGCTTCAGTTCATGCTCTTTCAGGAATAGGGCGTAACGGTGACGGAGAGCTGGGCGCCGTCCAAATGTCTCTTCCAGAAGATGCTGCAGTGAAGCCAGCCTTTCTAACTTATCTTGCCATAGCTCCATCACCAACTCCAACTGCTGGTACAAGCAAGGAACGTGAAGGGCAGCTGGCAACACCACACCTAAAATCCCATTGGCAGCAAAGGCCTGGATCATAGGCGCACCCCCTGAAGTGACCACGGCCAGTACGCGGTGGAACAAAACGTGCCCTTCACTCAACATGCGGGCCACAGCACGGGCCACTAAGGGATGGCTCAACTGTTCCA